TGTGTGTGTGTGTGTGTGTGTGTGTGTGTGTGTGTGTGTGTGTGTGTGTGTGTGTGTGTGTGTGCAGGGCTGGGCTCCAGTCACAGGTGGTGCAGAGACAGCAGAAACACGGTGAGGACGCTGACAGACACCCAGCTGCCTTCACAATCTGAACACCTCCCTGGAGTTTGTGTGTTCTGCTGCGAACATGCTGCTGCTGATACGTGGAAACCTCCAAACCCCCGATCTGAGCTTATTTTTGACTGGAAATGAACGTACGCAGCAATGCGGACATCTGGGTGTTGACAAAGTTTCATGGCTCTGTGTTGCAGGATTCATTTCTGACATCTGGGGCAATTTAAACACTCTTAGCTGAAGAGGGGAATATGGCAGTAAGGGTTCGTTCGTGCTCAGCTTTATGCTTTATGTTAAAGTCTTTATTGAGGATTGGTGTAAATGTAAGTTTCTAAACTTTGTTGTGAGGACCGCAGATGTAGTGATGATGCAGCCTGATGGGACGGTTTTATAGCTGATGTATTGACGTTTGTCAGAGATGCTTTTAATAAAACCTGACAGTGTTGTAACTGCCCCTGGGTCTGCAGCAGCACCACCAAGCAGACGGCATGAAACACCTCTGAGCTCAGTGGAGACGGGCCATAAAAACATCCCACGGAGCAACAGAACACCTTTAAATCCATTAGAAAGCAAAAGGAATGAATAGCAGCACTAGAAATCTGACAGGAGAGGGACGCCCACCAAAACCAAACCTCACAGACGAGGCAGGGAGGGCATGAGTCAGAGAGTCGGCAGGGGGGTGGGCGTACCTGCACTCCACAGAGCAGAGCTTTGAGGAACAGTGGCGAGAAAAGACACTGACAAAAGAAAAATGTAAGAGATCACGTTTGGACACAGCGTGTGGACACTCCCCCAAACACGAAGAAGGTTCTCTGGTCAGATGAGGATCACGTTGAAGGTTTTGAGCCATAATGGGAAACAATGTGTGTGCTGCAAACCCAACACATCCCATTACCCAGAGAACAACACTCCCACAGAGAAGCATGGCGGTGGCAGCATCATGCTGTGGATGATTTCATCAGAGACCGGGAAACTGGACGTGAATGAAAGAGGGAAGGTTCTAAAAACAGTCATGACAAAAAGAGACCGTAAATGAGGATGTAGCATCAAGGTCTGAGCTGTCAATCACAACACTTAACTCAGTTCTAAACATCATCTAATTCAAACCAAACTATCACTGGGACAAAAATGACAGAGACCAGCAATTCATTTGACTTTTCACTCTGGCCCATGTCCCATCCACTAACATGGAGGAGGCAGAGTTAATGACCTACACTTCAGGCAACCACCAGGGGGCTTCACTTTTCAGGAGCAGTCGGGTAATCACTGGTTTCAGTCTGTCAGAGATTTGTATTGTGACCTTGAAGCTCAACAAACTGCTGCTGTAACTTAAGAAAAACCCACAAAACAACACAACCCGCTACACAAATGCATCGCACACTTAAAGACGCTGGGACAGAGCACACCTCCACCAAGGAAAACACCTTATCTCCACTTTAAATGCCCCCCCCCACACACACACTCACACAATTTCAGGGAAATTGGTTCAGTTGTTTTTGAGGAATCTTGCTGAGAAACAAATGAAATATAAACTGCTTGGCCGAGGTAACAAACACAACACAACCTCATATATAAACACAACATGCAGCATGTTGTACCGTGTGTGCAGCACATGTGTCTCATTCTCTCTTAAGCTGCGGTTCGAAACCTTCCAAAACTTCTGAATACTCTTCAAAAACACTGTTTATTTCCAGGTTGTGACAAAACGAGACAGGAAAACACCGAGGGCTACTTTGACAAGACTTTATAGATCAAATCAAGTGTTAGTGGGAAAACAGAAATATTTTTTCCTCTGCACGAGGGTGAAGGAAGCCTTCTTGAAGCACGTCGACCTGCTGACCTCGATGAAGGCCGCTGCAGCTCAGGCGTGTTAGTGTTAATATAAAAGCTTTCTCGAAGTCGACCGAAAGAATACAATTCTTTTCAAGGCTTTGCTTCTTTTCAAATCATCAACACCCCTGAGCTGAGAAGCTGTTTTTTTCTTTTACCTTGTAATACATCAACCGTGGACCGAATAGTCACGACACTCTGAGGTTTCTACAGGATTTATAAAAAGACTCACATAACAGATAAAATC